CGAGAAGGATATCATGTGGTCGCCCGTACCTTCTTGGAGACCTTGTGCTGCTACAGGTTACCACATGGAATCGAAGGGTTTTGGAAAAACTCCCGCCTACTTCGAATGGAAGGGCGTTTCGTACCTGAAGAAGATGTAATATTGAAGTATGTCCCCTGACCTGAACCCACTCAATTACCTAGTTCGGGCGGAGTTCAACAGGGTGGTCTACAGTGGCGGAGAAATCAACGATCTCGCTCAACTCCGGTACCCACTCACTTTCGCGCGGCCGAATCTCTCGATGGCGCTCCTCCAGAAGGCTGTGGCGGAGTATCATTATAGTATTTAATGTGCTCTTTAATATGGTAGTAAAAATGTCCGATAAAAATTTAATAAAGTGTAACTTATAGCGCCTTGAAAGTCATGGAGGCAAAATGACTTTTTTTTGGCCCCCCCCCTGTATATATCCCCATTACGGAGAAGGTTCTAGAATGTTCTACCACTACCACATGGTAGATCATTGGTATCGATCAAGAATCGAAAACTCTGGAACTTTCAAAAAGCCCTATCAAAACTTTTTATCAACCTAATATTTCATTTGGTAAATGAGTGTTCTGAACTCAAAGCCATTACAATGGTATCCTTACGTCTTCTTTATCTTTTACTGACTCCTAACCTACATGGAATCCGAAATAAGTTATGGCAAAGGAAAAGAGCGAGGTGAACAAGAATTCATTTCGTCCGATATGACTCGCCATTTGTGCAGGCATTTCAGGTATAGAACTGAAGTTGCACTTTCCTGAGCGTCTACTGTTTGTAAAGGAAGATCATCGGAAACGGAAAATTACTAAGTTAGATAAATATCAAACCAGTTTTGTCACTGTGTTGGGAGGTGTTTGAGAGGGAACCATGGGGTCCACGTGCATGCACAGGCAATAATATTACGACCACCACTGGTCCTTCAAGGCCCCACTTTCAAAAACTTGTATCAGATTTTTGTCGAGTTTTACCATTCTAGGCAATGTTTTAGCGATGTGCACCTTAGGAAGCAAGTAGCCCGCATCGTGAAGTAATTGAGCAGTGTATGTGTTGAAGTGCAAGTAAGCCAAAAAACACTTCTGCAGTTTCTTTACACCTGAAGATCACGAATCGACAAAGGTAGTTAAGAAAGGAAAACATGGACTACGTTCGCTCGTGAGAACTGCCAGGTCTAGAAGGCAGGTAATGCATAAGATGATAAGCGTCACTTGCACGCATTGTCTTTGCTGATCACCTGTCCGACAGTTTCAGTTTAGATTTATTAGGAACAGTTTCCGTACGCATTCTAGAACAATGGAACAAAACAAAAGGCAAAAAGGCGTTCCAACAAATAACAGCAATCAGAAATGGCGACGTATTCACATGTTACGAATACGATTGACAAAGGGTGCAAACGGCTGTATTAGGGGAGGGGCAGACGAGACAGACGAGACACTGCGCATAGAGCGAAGGAGAAAGGTTCACCAGTAAGTGACAGGGCATGCGGATGAGCTATAGTCATCTCTGGACGAGGTAATTATAGCTCATCCTCATGCCCTGTCACTTATTGGCTAAAATCTTCCAGGTGGGGATGCCTGGAATCCCAGGGCGCCTGTCGATAAGCGTTGCGAGCAATTGAAGCCAAACCAAAAACCGTATTAGGTTTCTCTACCAGTTGAACAGCTAGTTTTTTTTCCCACAGAGCAACAGTGTTGCCCGCGAGTGAACCAACTTTGAATGATGCAGGTGCTTCAGATCTGGTGAATAGTGAAGGGTCTTAACTCGACGATAATGGATAGATTCACCATTTTAAAACTGTGGGAGTTCTGATGAAAAACTAACTTACTTCCCCTTACACAGCATCACGACAAGTTTTCCACTTCGGTTACACGCTTCGATTCGCCTCATTCCTGCAGTAGTGCAGCAGTAAGATGCCTAGTCTGGTAGGTTACGAAACAATCTCTTTGAAACATTTTAGGTCTTCTAAGGTCGACCGCGTGGTCGTGATATC